TTGCTAAGCCTTTAAAAATTTTGCACATGGAGAATATGAAACAAATTTTTTTTTTAGGTTTTATATATACATTTAAATAACTAAAAAATTATAAATTACTATATTGAATTACTATATATTCTACTAACATAGAATTCCACTATAATTTATCAAGCTTAGTAACTTAGTAACAGACAAAAGTGTACACTGTGGACAGATCAAGCAGCATTGAAGTTGTTGGTGAATTTTCATAATTCAGAAGGCCAAATAGTAAGATGGCTCCAAAAACTCCAGGAGTGCAGTTTCCACACTGTTAATTTTCCTGGATGTAACCATGGTTATGCTGATATATTATCTTGAAGACCATGTGTAAATGAATGTAAACACTCCAAGAAGAGGAAAACAAAGGACAGAAAAGATGACTAGCCATACCTTCCCTCTTCTCACAAGATTAGCTTTTCCCATTTTGTGCTGCCCTCTTTATGCGAACTTTTTTTCAAAATGCGTGCAATAAGCCTTCCAACATATCTCTCATACAAATCATCATGCGTCAACTCTCCACCAATAGGAGAGCATTATTATCATGTGATGCATGTGACTCCTTCTGTGCACCACTTCCAAACTGTCAATTTTCGTTTGGCAGTGCTTGAGTGCAGACGTCTTTCTTTAGACCACTGATTACCCTAGAAGTGGTTTAACTTTGTTTAACTCAGTTCAACTTCACTTAATTTCATTTCACTTTTATTTGAGAGTGTTTGATTTACCTGTATTTGCTGTACATTTTTCGCTTATTAAGTATCTTGTCTGAATTCTGAAGTCACTGGTACCACTTTGGTTGCATATCACTTGTCTGTTATTGCAGAGGCACGGGCGAACCAACGAGGGACTTCTTGGCTTTTGTTCGGGGAGAAATGGAGCATTATATGGAATGCACATTGTCTCTTGTTCATTCTCCTTTTCCTTCATATACTTTTTGAGCTTTTTACAGGCACAGGCTGAGGAAATTTTGATCCTTTTTTACCTACTGTGGAGTTTGCCGTGCTTTCCCACACCTTCCTGAGAATTCTGTTCAGCCCTCGTCGGCTTTCTCGGAGAT